AAGGACAGGCCCATCTGGGGATGACTGTGAGGCAGAACTGAAACTCTCCGGTCAGGTCTACCGGCTGTGGGGGCTCAGGCCATTGCTGAGCTTTTGGGCCATCTGGTACCTTCTTCCAGTGAGCCTGACCTTCCAACTGCTCACTCTTTCGCCTTGGTGTCCTGGAATGAGGTGGGAGGAGCCTCATACCTGTCCCTGTGACACACTTGGCCCAGGCTTTCTTGCCACAGAGCCCCATACACCTGTTTTCTCCGCAGGGTCCTCTCCTCCTGCCCCAGCCTGACTCTGCTAGAGAAGACCCGGGACAGTCTAGTTAGGAGTTCTACCTGGCTGGCCCTGTGTGCTACCTAATGGACCTTCCTCTCTTGACATGGAGGGCTCTTTCTGAGATAGAATCTTATATATCCCAAACTGACCTCAAATTGGCCAGGTAGCCCAGAATGACCTCAGACTCCTGATCCTCCTGCCTCCACCTGCCAAGTCCTGGGATTACAGTGGTGCTGGGGATGGAACCGGGGCTTTCTGATTGCGAAGCAAGCACTCTACCGTTTGACCCACGTGCCCAGCCCATCTCAACATGCATTGTGAGACCCAAGCTGATGGCTCTGCCCGCTGGCGGCTCCTCTTTCTCCCTTCTCCTGCTGCTGTCAAGATGTAGGCTGAGGATTAAGGGGCTGGACAGGTCAGAAGCTCCTTTGTACCTTCTGTTGGCAGCCACTAACACCTTTGTGTGAGCCCACATCCTGAGCCCAAGTAAAGCCTTAACTGCTCTAAACAGAGACAGAAGCCAGCATAGTAGGACACACCTGTCATCCCAGCACTGGAGAGGTAGAGGCAGAAGGATGGGGAACTCAGGGTCAGGCTAGGGATGTGTCTAGCTTTCGTGAATCCTTGGGTTCTATCCCCAGCATGGACAAACTAAGCTTCAAGGCACTTTCCTGTAATCCCAGCACTGTGTGGTAGAAGTAGGATCAGTTCAAGGTCATCCTCTTCTGCATAGTGAGTTCAATGCCAGCTTCTGCTTTAGGAGCCCATCTGTCAACAGAGAGCAAGGCCACCAGGGAACCATAGCACACAGATGACAGAGAGGTGCCTAAGCAGTACCGAGGGTGCTGGGTGGGATCAGCCCCCTCCTGAAGGTGCATTTACAGAGGCTGTGGTGCTGCTCCTGTGTAGCAGTAAGGGCCGGGAGAGGCTTCAAGGAAGTAGTGACCTGGTAGGGGATATGCTGAGCAGAACTTGTGAGCCAGTCATGGTCAGATCGCACCCCACAGCAGCAGTGGCGGCAGACTGTGATGAATGAGTGGGTGGAGGAGGAGCTGGGGAGTTTCCTTCTAGATGAACTTAAGAGCTTTCTCTCCCAGGGTGGGATGTAACTGGTTCTGAGCCCACACCCACAGGGAGAGCAGGCTTGCAGAGGCCCTGCTTCCTGCAGCGTGACACCAGCGATGGGCGATGAGCAGACCTCTGTGAAACTCCTGTGACCTAGGCGTGGGACAGGAAGCAAGTCACTAATAGTGTAGGAATGGGGACCTTCTAGAAAGGACAGGATCCTTGCTGCCTCTTTCCATGGCATCTTCTATTAGGTTTGAAAACCCTAGGAGAGGCGTACTGGGGCCCTACATTCAGAGCCTCCTCCCACTGCCCGGCTCCCAGTGGTACAAAGCCCCTCCCCTATTGGAGTCTGCCTTGGACTGTTGCCAGGAGAGTTGGGCCAGTAAGCATGACATCATGACTCCTGCCCTGCACCCAGCCTCTCCTCCTCTGCTCTCTGACTCCCCCAGGGACACCTCATCAGGCCCCTTTCCTGAGTACATCCCCACCCACTTACAACTAAATTCTGACATTTTGTTTCCCCAGCTTGAGCCCCTCCCTGCAGGCCAGACACCCAGACAATGGGAAACAAGCTAGGATCTTCTTAAAGGAACAGTGTCCCACCAGCTGTTGCACAGCTCTCCTCCCTGTCCTGTTCTCAGTTCCAGTTACAGCAGGTCCTAGCACTGGGGAGTGGAGTGAACAGTCTCACCCACATATTCTCTCCTGCACTGGTCCCCAGCACAGCACAGCTCCTCCAGGTCCTGTGTGACCCGTAAGCAGAACCAGCTGCATATGCAGCCCGTTCTCTGCTCAGGTGTACATTCTGGCCCAGGCATATCTAGGCACACAGAACCCTAAGCTCTCCATAGACTCACAGGAGAGTCCCAGTCCCACCAAGATGTTTGGACCAGGAGAAGCCAGGCACCTAGTTTACTGGCAAAGACACCCCCCCCTCTCTGCCTGCCCTTCAGCTCCTACCTCAGCCTCCCTGGTTGTCTCTTAGACTAAGATGGACTGCTGGCTTTGATGACGCTGGGCTTGTTTCCTGAGGAAAGACAGGGACACAGATTTAATGGTAGGTAGTAGCAAGAACTGAGCTGATCTCTGGGCATGCTTGTGAAGGCCTAGGGCTGCTGAGCTTTGGGGAGATACAGCATCCTGCATCTTCACTGGCAGGATCCTGTCTCTGCATCCTGAGCCCAATACCTACTTCACACCTCAATGAGACAGGATAGCCAGTGCTCCCCTTAAGGTATTTGGTTGGCTTTTCATTTTCCTTTTTGTTTTGGGTTGGTCTTTTCCCAGTGCCCGACTGTTCTACAGTCTGGTGTTGAATGCCCATAGATCCACCTGCCTCTGCCTCCCATGTGCTAAAACAGGAAGGTGCTGACATTCAGGTCTAAAGGGTTATAGACCTCTGCACTCCTAGAGGAGAAAGCCAACCGATCCATGTATGAGGCCTGTGGTCTGCTTCATGCTCTCCGGGTTCCCAGCCTCTGTTCCTCTGTCCATCTGGCTGGTAACCAAAAACAAGTCACCTTCCTTCTGAGCCATCTTCTTTGCATGAGGAGACAGGGACCTGGATTAGAAGCTGTTCTTGCCTCTGAGGTTAGCAGGCGAGCCAGATCCTCCAGCCCATCTAGGCAGAGCTGAAATGGATGGCTGTACAGGCTGTGCACCGAAAAGCTCTAGAGGGAGCTGGGCGAGGTGACACCTTTAATCCTGGTGCTAAGGAGGAAGAAGCAGGCAGATATCTGTGAGTTCAAGGCACTCATGGTCTACATAGAAAGTTGTAGGACGGCCAGGGCTATATAGAGAGACCCTGTCTCCAAAACAAAAGGGGAAAAAGCTGTAGGGAATGAAGCAGCTAGACTGCTCAGCTGGTCCCAGGTAAAGAGGCTGGTCCCAAGAACCTGATGAACTGAGTTCAAGCCCCAGAACTCCTGTAAGGGTCCAGGGGGAGAACTGATTTCTCAGAGTCCTGTGATCGCTACATGTACACTGAGGCTCGTACCCCCACACACACTTAGGATATTTTGTGCAAGTAGGGTCTTACCATGAAACCCTGGCTGTCCTGGGTCAGGCTGTGTAGACCAGGCTGGCCTCAAATTCACCATCTTCCTCTGCCTCCAAGTAGTGAGATCAGAAGTGTGTGTACAACTGTGCCCAGCCATTAATAATCATTTTTTAGAAAGCGATGTGGGGGTGCAGTCCTCTCCCTGGTCTCACAGTTTGAGCTCTGGACTTGCATATAGGCCGCTTGTGTTCATGGATACAGCTTTCTAAAGCTGGAGTTCTTTCTTATTTTTCTTTTACTTTTTAAGGTTTTTTTTTTTTTTAATTATTAATTAGAGAAAGGGTCTTACTGTGTAGCCCAGCCTGGTCTGGAACTTGTCATGTAGCCCAGACTGGCCTCAAACTCACATTCCTTTCTTTTATCCTTTTTAGTGTTTATTTTATTTTATGTGTATGGGTGTTTTTCTCACATATATGCGTGTGCCTGGTACCAGCAAAGGCTGGGAGAGGATGTCAGATCCCCTGGAACAGACATTACAAATAGTTGTGAGCCACCATCTGAATGCTAGCAATCAAGCTCAGGTCCTCTGGAAAAGCATCCAGTGCTCTTAACTACTGAGCCATCCCTCCAGCCCCTCCTTCTTTTACTTTCAAGACAGTATTTCATGTCCCATTCTGACCTGGACTCACTGTAGAGTATATAATCAACTATGACTTGAACTCCTAACCTTCCTGCCACTGTGTCTTGAGTGCTAGAATGACAGGTAAGTGCCACTAGCCCAATATACTTCGTGTGTTTGTTTGTTTGTTTGTTTGTTTGAGACAAGATCTGTGTAGCCCCTGCTTACTGCAGTTCGCGATCCCTCTTCAGCCTCCCAGCTGCTGAAATGATAGCCTGCCTATGCGTCCACACCCAGCTATCTTTCTCTTAGTCTTTTTGTTTGTTTGTTTAATTTTTTTCTTTGGGTTTTCAAGACAGGGTTTCCTTGTGTAGCCCTGGCTGTCCTGGAACTCTGTAGACCAGGCTGGCATCAAACTCAGAGATCCGCCTGCCTCTGCCTCCGAATACTGGGATTAAAGCCATGTGCCATCACTGCCCGGCTATTTTTTTTTTTTTTTGAGACAGGACTTTGTGTATACTAGGCAAGTTCTCCACCAACAGAAGTACATCTCCAGCCCCTAGTTTGTTTCAATTTTCTTTCTTTCTTTCTTTCTTTCTTTCTTTCTTTCTTTCTTTCTTTCTTTCTTTATTTATTTAGTGTACAATATTCTGTCTGCTTATATGCCTGTAGGCCAGAAGAGGGCGCCAGACCTCCTTACAGATGGTTGTGAGCCACCATGTGGTTGCTGGGAATTGAACTCAGGACCTTTGGAAGAGCAGGCAGTGCTCTTAACCACTGAGCCATCTCTCCAGCCCTGTTTCAATTTTCTTAAAGCAAAAGCCAAAGATAAATACCTATATGTGGGGACTAGAGAGATGGCTTCAGGGTCAAGAATACTTGCTAGTTTTGCAAAGCTCCCAAGTATCCACGGGTATCTCGTGTCCTCTGGCCTCCTCAGGCACCACACACACAGGATGAACATACAGACAAGCAGGCATACACCGTGAGTAAAGCTGTGCAGAGAGAGTAGGTGTGGCCATCTCAGCCCCGCCCCTCTTCACCCAGGTGCTGTGAGTGTAGCGCCTCCCTTTCACACCAGTACTATGAGAAAGATGGACAGCTCTTCTGCAAGAAGGACTACTGGGCCCGCTATGGCGAGTCTTGCCATGGGTGCTCTGAACACATCACCAAAGGACTGGTCATGGTGAGCCACCTTCTCCTACTTGCCCCACCTCTTGTGAGCATGCACTCTCTCCCTGCCTCCGTCCCCTGTGCATTCTAAGCCCATTTCTTCGCCTGTTCAGATCCTTCAGTCCTCTGTCCAGGCTGCCCTGCTTCTCCCTTGCATAGAGAATGGTGGTGGGGAAGGAGACTGCAGGTACCACTAAGCTGTGTTGTGTCCCCCACCTACAGGTGGCCGGGGAGCTGAAATACCACCCTGAGTGCTTCATCTGCCTCACCTGTGGAACCTTCATCGGCGATGGGGACACCTACACACTGGTGGAGCACTCGAAGCTGTACTGGTGAGTACTGTGGGCCTCTTCGAACCTAGGGGCCTGCACCTGTCATCAAGGCTGCCCCACTCAGGCTTTTATTTCCACACGGGAAAATAGGAGAGGGCAATTGCTGTAGCTCCCTGCTACCTTGTAGACATGGCAAAAATTGTAGTGCCTGTCACCCCAGCTTTTCAGAAGGCTAATGCAAGAGGATTGTAAGTTCTAGGCCAGTCTGGGCAACTTAGTGAGACCCAGTCTCAAGAAGTAAAAAGAAAACTGAGGGTACATCTCACTAGTAGAGCACCTGCCTAGAATCCCCCAGTGAGGAGCTGGGGTGTGGCTCAGTGGTAGAACACCTGCCTAGAATCCCCCAGTGAGGGGCTGGGGTGTGGCTCAGTGGTAGAGCCCCTGCCTAGAATTACCCCAGTGAAGGCTTCCATGTCATATGTAAGGCTCTAGGTTCAGTTCTCAGTATTATTAAAAAAGAAAGAAAACGACAAAAGCCTGAATGTCCCCAACACCAGCCCCCTTCTCTCTGCCTTTGCAGTATGGTTCTGGCTCTAGCCACAGAGCTGGCATAGAGCCTACCAGCTACAGATACTATTACCAGCAGGTCTGTTCCTGCTCCAGACACCAGCTGCACACTACCCCCCAGGGCCCTCACACACTTAAAGCAATTGGCTTCCAATCCAGTGACCCCAAGTTTGATAATTTGCTAAATGATGCACAGAACTCCAAAGGGTTCTGTGCTTTGGGTCACAGTTGTATTACAAAGGACACAGCCCAGGAGCCACCAAGTGAGGACACCTTCCATCTCTCCCCCAGCCCATCTTATGTTTACTAACCAGGATGCCACACTGAGGTCCAGCATTTCATTGAGGTTTCCTTATAAGTAATCTGGCCACATGATTAAACTCTGTCTCTAGCCTGCTCCTGGGACCCAGGCTGGCTAGAAGCCCCCAAGCCTTCAGTCATGGTCCGTCTTTGTGGGACCAGCCCTGATCTGACTCATCTCATTTGCATAGACTCGAGCATCCTCCAAGGGGCTCATAAATAACAAAGATCCCCCTGTTCCAAGGACTTAGAGTCTTTCTCCCCAGAGCCGGGACAAAATAATAGGCAAATTCTCGCTTATGAAACACCAACAAGGCTGGATTTGAGAACAACAGGACCTGATCCCAAATGGGTTTTTAATGACTTCCTCCCAAATGAGATGTATCCCCAAGGGCCTCGCCTTATCTTGGCCATCTGACAACATCACAGAATAGACAAGCCAGAATGGGGCCAGCGAGATGGCTCAGTGTGTAAAGGTGCTTGCTGCCAAGCCTAATGACCAAAGTGGTGGAAAAAGAGAGCTGATTCCTCTAAGTTGTCCTTTAAACTACCCCCATATATATATACACACACAGTTTGGCACACATATACTTGACCAAACACGTGCATAAATAAATGTAATTTTGAAACAAATAATTTTTTTTTTTTACCACAATAACTGAGACCCAGATTTGAGAGGGCTGAGACAACTGGTCACCCAGGCCTGCCCCGAGTGCCATCACTTTTCTGGGGGAGGAGTGTGGAGGGGGGGAAGCCTGCTGCAGAGAAGCATGACTTCTGCTGACACTCCTCTTCCCTCCTCTTTGCATCCGCACTGCCGACGGCCTTCCTAGTGGGCGCTGCTACTACCAGACTGTGATAACTCCAGTCATTGAACAGATCCTGCCAGACTCACCCGGCTCCCACCTGCCCCACACAGTCACCCTAGTGTCCATCCCAGCCTCTGCTCATGGCAAGCGAGGCCTGTCCGTCTCCATCGACCCCCCTCATGGCCCACCAGGCTGTGGCACGGAGCATTCGCACACTGTTCGAGTCCAAGGGTGAGTGGGCTGCCACGCTGGATGGGCTCTGCTGTAGCAACCTGGTTGTATTAGTTAGCCTTTTGTTGATATAACAAAATACTCAACATAAACAACCTAAGTGGGGAAAGATTGATCTTAGCTCACAGTTCCAGAGGGTTCAGTCCATAGTCATTGAGTAAGTTTGTTCTGGCCTAAAATGCCAAGGTACTAGAAGCATGAGGAATTGCGATAAGTCAATTTACAAAAACCAGGGCTGTTAAATGGCTCATCAGGTAAAGATGCTTGCCATCAAGCTGGACAGCTTGAGTTCCATTCCCAGCTCCCACAGGGTGGAGGAAAGAACCAGCTTCTGTAAGCTGTCCTGATTTACACACATACACACACACACACACACACACACACACACGGCGTGCTCATATGCATAAACACACACAACATACTCATACACATAAACACACACACAAGACATGCTTATACACTTAAACATACATACACGAGACATGCTCATACCATAAACATACACACAAGATATGCTCATACACAAACATATACACACACAAGACATGCTTATAGACATAAATATACTTATAAGGCATGTGCATACACGTAAACATACACACACATACAAGATGTGCTCATATACATAAACATACACACACAAGACATGCTCATACACATAAACATACACACTAAAGAAATGAATATAAAAAATAATTTTAAGTCAAACAAATGGCTGTACTTATAATCCTGGAGTTAAGGAGTTGTCCTCTTGCATCTGTGAGCAACTAATGAAACTCATTGGGCCACCCCCCCCCCCAAAAAAGGAAAGACATGAAAGAAGGGGGACTAATTGCAAAGACTCAGAGGATCAGCAGAAGTGGAGGGGAACAGTGATGGAGGGGAGTGATCAAAATGCATTATACGACACATGAAGGTGTCACAGTGAAGCCCACCGTTAAGCATAGTTAATATCTGCTAATAAAAAGATGAGACTGGGGCTGGAGAGATGGCTCAGTGGTTAAGAACACTGGCTCCTCTTGCAGAGAACCAGGGTTCGGTTCCCAGCCCCCACATGGCGGCTCACATCCATCTATAACTCCAGGTCCAGAGGATTCTACACCCTTGTGGCCACCTAGCTGTGATTTTCACCAAGGTGGAATCATTTCCCTCACCACCCCATTTCTGGTCATCTTGGCTTTTGGTTTCCTATTGGGATTAAAGGGCACCAGTGGGAGGGAAACCAGTCTAACCACTGGTTTATCCCCAGAGTGGACCCCGGCTGCATGAGCCCAGATGTGAAGAATTCCATCCACGTTGGAGACCGGATCTTGGAAATCAATGGCACGCCCATCCGGAATGTGCCACTGGACGAGGTAGGACTACAGGGATCCAAGGCTGGGGCAGGGTGGAGTGCTGGAAGCAGAGCTTTCACACCTGCGCTCCACTGCCACCTCAGAACACTCACCTGGACACTCCCCTGTCCCCAGATCGACTTGCTGATCCAGGAGACCAGCCGTCTGCTCCAGCTGACCCTTGAGCATGACCCCCATGATTCTCTGGGCCACGGGCCAGGGTCGGAGCCCAGCCCCCTGGGCTCCCCAGTGCACGCTCCCAGTGGACAGGCAGGCAGCTCTGCCCGGCAGAAACCTGTCTTGTAAGTCAACCTGCTCCTTTGCTTCTGTTCTTGGTCTGTTTCATCTTTTCTGCCCCACCATCATTGTGGTACAGGGATTCGAGAAGATGTGAGGATAAAAAAGAAGAAACAGTGGACAGCGCTCCCGCTGGGAGTTAGACTGTCCCAGGCCAACAGTGCCCCCAGCTGGGAGTTAGAGACTGTCCCAGGCAGACAGTGCCCCCCCCCCAGGCTGGGCGCTAGAGACTGTCCCAGGCAGACCCATATCTTTTTTTTTTCCACTTTAATTATTTTGCATTGATTTATTCGTTAACTTTGTGGGGGGAGGGGTGCACCGAGATGGGGGGTGAGAATGCCACAGCACCTGTGTAGAGGTCCGAGGGCATCTTATAGAAGTCAGTTCTCTGCTCTTGCCTTGTGTTCAGGGAATCAAACTCAGATTGTCAAGCTTGATGTGGCTTGTATCCACATCGTTTCCTGTATCCACTGAACCATCTTGCAGGCCTTCTCTCTAAATTTAAAGTGCTTAAAAGGCAAGGCAGTTTTTGGCACTACTTTTCAGTAGGCAGATTAACATAGCAGGCAGGAATCAGTGAGGAGCAAGCGTAGATAAAACATATTTTAAGGCTGGGCTATAGGTCAGTAGTCGCTCACGTAGCATTCTGTGAGCTGTGGGTTCCATCCCCAGCACCATGTAAACCAGGCATGGTGGCACATCCCTGTAATCCCAGCTCTCAGGAGGTAGAAACAGGAAGATCAGAAGTTCAAGGTCACCCTTGGCTTCCTAGTGAGTTGGAGGCCAGCCTAGATTACATGAGACCCTATTTATTAAAAATAAACAGGAAAAAAAGCATTTTATCACTTTGATGTGCCAATTCTTAAATTAAAAAAAAATAGTTGCATTAATACAAATAGAATTAGGCCAGGCGGTGGTGGCACATGACTTTAGCCCCAGTGCTTGGGAGGCAGAGGCAGGCACATCTCTATGAGTTTGAGGCCAGCCTGGTCTACAGAGTGAGTTCCAGGAAAGCCAGGGCTGTTACCCAGAGAAGCCCTGTCATGAAAAACTAAAAAAGAAAAGAAAAGGGAAAAATGTATGTATATATGTATATATTTATAGCAATATAAATAGAATTAGTACAAATTCCATTCATATGGTTGGCTTGGTAGCAATATACGTCCCATTCCATCATTATAAATACTTTATTGTTCACGTTTACCAGCTTCTCCTGCATTTTTGCCATTCTTTCTGGGAATTCAAAAAATGGTGCTAGGTAGGTGGCTCCATGGGTAGAAGCACTTGCTGTGCAAGCATGAGGACCCAGTTCAGATCCCAGCAGCACCATGTGAAAAGTCACACACCTGTAACCCCAGACCCCATCTCAAAAGTATGGGAGAAGGCTGGAGAGGTGGATCGGCAACTAAGAGCTAAGAGTATGCCTGGCGGTAGTGGTACACACCTTCGATCCCAGCACTCAGGAGGCAAAGGCAGGCGGATCTGAGTTCCAGGCCAGCCTGGTCTACACAGTGAGACCGTGTCTTGTGGGGGAATAAGAATGTGGGCATTCACTTTGGGTCGCTCACCTCTACCATTTCTAGAGGATCTGATGTCCTTTCCTGGCCTCCAAAAGCGTGGTGCTCACATGCACAAATCTACACATAGATAAAATTGCATAGGACAATTAAAAATAATAAATCTAAAAAATAGTAAGGTTGGGGCTGGAGAGATGGCTCAGAGGTTAAGGCACTGGCTCTTCCAGAGGTCCTGAGTTCAATTCCCAGCAACCACATAGTGGCTCACAACCATCTGTAATGAGATCTGGTGCCCTCTTCTGGTATGCAGGCATACATGGAGGCAGAATGTTGATACATAATAAATCTTTAAAATAAGTAAGTAGTAAGGTGGACAGTGAGTAAGGAAATACCTATCATCAATATATGGCCTCCACATGCTCATACACAAATATGCATGCACAGTCACATGAAGGCATACATACAACACACAAACTGCAGTGTTTTACAATGGTTTTTAGTTTATGTGTTTGATTCCTACGTAGCCCAGGCTGGCTTTGAACTAGTGATCTTCCTGCCTCCACCTCTGAAGTACTGGCAATTGCAAGTATGTTTGACCATAGCCAGCTGGTTTTTAGTTTCTTCATTTAGTGCCTTAATGAGGAAGGCTCATTCGAAGCTTTGGAGAAAATAGGATGCAGACTAGCATCTTAACTTCATGGAGCAGCTAGTGATTGGCTTGGGGTAATGGGAGTGGTGGTGATAGGGCATTGGCTATGCCAGGAGACTTTGGACCTTTTTCCATGCCTTGAGGTCTCCTCTGAAGGGTTGTTGCCACACAATGGTGTGTTTCATAAAGATTACTGTGGTCCAAGATAAGGACAGAATTTGATGTGGGATGTCCAGGTCAAAGTTGGCTAATGGTCTCCAGCAGTGATCCGGGCAGCAGGTGCCATGAGTCCTCTATCCTTGAACCTGAAGAGGCAGGAAGAGAGGGACACAAAAAAAGGAATCAGAGGCAGCCTGCTACTTACCCCACTTATGCTGAATCCTCCCCAGGACTCTTGGAGAAGCCTTTTGAGGGGCAGCCCTCTTTCTAAGAGGATGTACTGTCGAAGGCATGTACTCCTTCATCTCTGTTTGTCTAGAGCTCAGGCCATAGGAGGGGATACCTGTGTACATGCAGTGTAATGGGCATCCCAGGCAGGGATGAGACCGGGCCACCAAGCAGAGGAGGCCATGGTAGGCTGTACCACCTTCTCCCAGGATGGGGGGTGTGAGCATCGACTGGTTCATATGGTACTTATTGTGAGGAGTCAAGGGCAGCGTCTGAGCTGGGTGCCACCTCCCCATGGCACTGGGACCCCGTGTGCCTTTCCCAGGAGGAGCTGCAGTATTGACACGTCCCCGAGTGCCAGCTCACCAGCCTCCCAGCGCAAGGACCTGGGTCGCTCCGAATCCCTCCGAGTGGTCTGCCGACCACATCGCATCTTCCGGCCATCTGACCTCATCCATGGGGAGGTGTTGGGCAAGGGCTGTTTCGGCCAGGCCATCAAGGTATGCAAATGGAGAGGGTCAGGCTGGATGACACCTGATCACCTCTTCCCTCACACTGCCCCCTGGGAATCCAACACATCTAGATTCTGTGCTCTCTGCGCAGTGTTACTCCCTCCTATTCCTGGATTTCCCTGAGCTAAGAGGAGGGAAGGGGTTTAAATGCATAGACTCAGAACTTTGTCTCACGTAACTCAACCTGGTCTTAAACTCACTAAGTGACTGAGGATGGCCTTGAACTCCTCTTCCACTCCCAAGTACTGGGGTCACACATGCTAGTGATGCTAAATTTTCATATCAGTACAAGGTCTCTCTAAGTTTCCCATACTAACCTCAAATTCACTAGATATCCCAGACTGGCCTTGGACATGAGATCCTCCTGCCTCAGCCTCCCAGGTGGCTGGGGTTATAGGCATGTGTCACTATGTCCCACTTGGTCTTGATTTTTGTGCTTCCATATCCCCAACATAGGTCACACACCGAGAAACAGGCGAGGTGATGGTGATGAAGGAACTTATCCGGTTTGATGAGGAGACCCAGAGGACATTCCTCAAGGAGGTCAGTGGAGAGGGATTGTCACTCCCCTCCCCAGTGAGAAGGGGTGGCAGAGGGTTCCTGGAGGATGAGTCATGCACACACCTGTTGAAAGACATGAGAGGGTTCAGGCCCCACTGGGGACAGGGCAGCTTGAGCAAAGACATCGCTCCATGAGTCGTGGGCGTAGCTCAGGTGGTAGAGTGCTTGCCTTGAAAGCATGAGGTCCTGGGTTCAATCCCCAGCACCACATCTACCAGGCATGAACTACACATCTGTAATCCCAGCACTTGGGAGATGGAGGCAAGAAGATCAGAGTTGAACGTACTCCTTGGCTACATAGAGAATTCAGCCTGGGCTATGCAAGACGTTGACTCAAAAGAGACAATGTCAAAAGTCAGAACAGCCATGTGCTGGGAGTACAGGTTGGTGGATGCTTGCTTATCATGTGTGAAGCCCTGGCTTCTAATGCAAAAATTGACCTTGGTGGTACAAGCCTGTCAGCCCAACACATAGGAGATGATGGTGTGAGCATCAGGAGTTCAGGGACCTTCATGGCTACAAAGCTAGTTCAAGACCAGTTTGAGCTATGAGAGACACTCTTAAAAAACAGAAGACAGGGCTGGAGAGATGGCTCAGTGGTTAAGAGCATTGCCTGCTCTTCCAAAGGTCCTGAGTTCAATACCCAGCAACCACATGGTGGCTCACAACCATCTGTAATGAGGTCTGGTGCCCTCTTCTGGCCTACAGACATAAACGCAGACAGAATATTGTATACATAATAAATAAATAAATAAATATTTAAAAAAACTGATGGTAAAAAAAAAAAAAAACAGAAGACAGCCAGACTGTGGTGGCGCATACCTTTAATCGCAGCACTTGGGAAGCAGAGGCAGGAGAGCAGGAGAATCCCTGTGAGTTCAAGGCCAATCTGGTCTGCAGGTCTAATTCCCAGACAGCCAAGGCTACACAGAGAAATCCTGTCTCAAAACCACCCTCATAAAAAAGAAGACATAGTGGCTTACCAGGTGAGAAGAGACTGAGTGTGTGCCCTGATGTGTAGGTGGGATAGAGCAAGGGGAAGGAGATCCAGGCTCAGCCTGTGTGTCCCCTTCCAGGTGAAGGTCATGCGGTGCTTGGAGCACCCTAATGTGCTCAAGTTCATTGGTGTGCTGTACAAGGACAAGCGGCTGAACTTCATCACAGAGTACATCAAGGGCGGCACCCTGCGGGGCATCATCAAAAGCATGGTGAGCAGGACTGGGGCCTGGGGATGTGGCTTAGTTGGTAGAATGCTGTCCTAGAATGCATGAGGCCTCAGGTTCCATCCCCAGCACTGCATAAACCCGGTGTAATGGCACCCTCCTTTATCCCAGCACTAGGGAAACAGACAGATGAGCCTTAATGAGTTCAAGGCCAGTCTGGTCTACATAGCAAGTTCCTGCCAGCCTTTCTAAATACACATAAACACCAAAACCAAAACAGGAGTTGAAGGATGAGGAGGTCAGGATTGCACTATCCCCTTGCAGGGCCGTGACCCCCAGTAACCTAAGAACTCTCCATTAGCTCTGCCTCTGAAAAGTGACATCACTTCCTACTAGTGCCATGCTGGGGACTGAGCCTTGAATACATGGGTCTCAGGGGGACACTCCAGATCCTAACCATGGCAGAACCAGAGCCCCATTCTCCCCAGCAGCTGGTGCTGTGAGTGCAGGTGGCTTGTTGGACCTTCAGCTTTGACTCTGAACGTTGGTTCAGCTTGGTTTTCAAACTTGAAATGGGGACTGGGGAAATGGCTCAGTGGGCAAGATGCTTGCTTCCCAAGCAAGAGGACCTAAGTTCCACCCCAGAGACACATGTAAAATCCCAGCATGGTGGCATACACTGTAAGCCCATCACTAGAGGTAGGCTCTCTGGGGATCACTGCCCGGGCAGCCTATGCAGATCCATGAGCTCTGCCTTCAGCGAGACGTTCTCTCAAAAGCTAAGGCCAACAAGATAACTTAGAGAGTGAAGGTGCCTGCTGCTGAGCCTGATGCGCAGAGATAAATCTCCAGAACCCACATGGTGGGAGGAGAGAGCAACTCCTGCACATTGTCCTCTGTCTCACATGTGCAGATGCGCATGCACACCCCACAGATGTGCACACACATAAATAAGTGTAGCAAATAAAAATGTTTGATTGTAGAAGGAAATTAAGGAAGAAACCTGACATTAACCTCTGGCTCCCCACATGTGTACACGCACACAAACATGGATCTACACATACCACATACTCAAAATGCAAATACATGCATACACACAAAAAAAACATGTATATATGCATACTGCACACAAAACATGGATATACACGTACCACACATAAAACATGGATATATACATATCACACAAAAAAATTAAGCAAAAATGAATAAATTAAATTAAAAATAGAGTATTCAGGAAGTTAAATAAGTACACTGTTTCCTATAACAGATTCTTGGGGCATGGTTTATACTGTCTGCCCTGGAGGTGCATAAATCAACACCCAGCAAACACTTGGGAGTGACAGCCACACAGGTTACTGCTCAGAATAGCTAGTTTGGGAACATGGCAGAACCTTTAGTGTGTAAAATCAGTTCTGTTGAGAAAAGATGCCCGAAAGGCCTATAACCCTAGCCCAAGGCTGTTGCAGGAAAATGTAAGTTCAAGGCCAGTCTGGGCTACATAGGACATCCTGTCTCAAAAAGCTGAACAAGGGCCTATGAGATAGCTCAGCAGATAAAGGTGCTGTCCCCAGTCTAATGACATGAGTGGGATTCCCTGAGACCCAAATGGTGGAAGGAGAGAATAGAGTCCCCCAGGTTGTCCTCTGACAGACAAGCAAAGAGGACGATGCCTTGGAGCCGTGCATGCACAGCACTTCGAAGATGATTAGTAGGCAGCTGTGGGTACAGAGCCTTGGGAGCCTACAGACTCTATCACACTTGTGCCTGTGGCTCCCCTGGGCTCCATCCCAGCCATTCTTTCCTGTCCCCAGGACAGCCAGTACCCATGGAGTCAGAGGGTCAGCTTTGCCAAGGACATTGCGTCAGGGATGGTAAGTGACCAACCACTCACTCAAGTGGCCCAGTCTGCTATGAGGAGTGTGCGAGCAGAACCCATGGGGAAGCTCTGAGGTGGCAGCAGTGATGTAGGGGACTACCTACAATCTCCTAGTGGAGCACAGGGTACAGCTCAGCAGCAGAGCAGAGGTCTAGAGTCCATCAGCTGCTGGGACTGCAGTGGGAGGCAAGGAACTCGCAGAGGGTCAGGGCTGAGCTGGGGAGTCTGTTGGCCAAACGTCTGCTGACGAGCTTGTTCCCGTTCCCTCAGGCCTACCTCCACTCTATGAACATCATTCACCGAGACCTCAACTCCCACAACTGTCTGGTCCGTGAGGTAAGCAGTGCTGGGCAACTGGGTGAGCTGGAGAAAGAAGGAGCCTGAGCCGCTCCTCCCAGGGCTTCACGGAGATGGAGGTTGGGTGCACAGCACAAGAACAAGAGGCAGGTGGACCTGAGTTGCAGTCCTGGCTCTGCCATTTCTAACATGGCACCAGCCCTCAGACCTACCAGCAGTGCAAGGTTTCAACAGATCAGTAAAGGGAAGACCGATTTGAAATGTAAAGCCCCAGCTTTCCCTGCAGCATTTATAGAAGCCACCTACAGTAGATGTAGCACAGGCTACCCAGGTAGCACCAACAGCTTTGGGAAGAGGAGGCTTGGCAGGGGCATTTCAGCAGAGGCAAAAGATAGAGGCAGTCAGCCCCAGATTATATGTTGGTGTCTAAAGGGTTCCCAGGTATTATACAGAACGTAGAGGATCGGGCCAAACTGGAGAGCAGGTGCCTAAAGTCCTAATCCTGTAATAAAATAACCACAATCAGCATGTGAACTGAGGAAGGCTAAGGTAGGATGTTCAAGTTCTGTGTGAGCTACAGAGCCATGTCAGGGTCAGCCTGGAAAACTTAGCAAGACCCTGTCTCAAGTGTAAAAGTGGAAAAACAAAATCCTGGAAGCACAGGTGGATAAAGCATACACCTGGAATCTGCTAGTGAGGGGCTGGGGTGTGGCTCAGTGGTAGAGCCCCTGCCTAGAATCCCCCAGTGAGGGGCTGGGGTGTGGCTCAGAGGTAGAGCCCCTCCCTAGAATCCCCCAGTGAGGGGCTGGGGTGTGACTCAGTGGTAGAGCCCCTGCCTAGAATCCCCCAGTGATGTCCAGCTGCCATGACTCAGCAATAGAGCACTTGCCTAGCATGTGCAAGGACCTGGGTTCAACTTCCAATACCACACATGCACAAAAAGAACATTCCCAAAGGCCTTCTAACCAGTCAGTACAGAGCTATGATCCAAACAAAACTAGAACTGATTCCGGTGTTTTAGGTTCAAGGATTCTCTAGGCCCTTTCAGCCTGCCTAGGACCCTGCCAGAGGACAATATGAACTGCTGGGACTGTCCAGCAAGATAGAAAACTCCAGGTTATGGGACACCCTGAGGGTCAACCTCAAACCCTGGGCATTGGTGCCATGAAAGTGAGCTGGACAAGTCTTCATGGGTCCTGCTTGGTCTTGCTGTCTAAATTGTTGGTGACCTGCATCCAGTTTACAACCTCAGGGTCAACTACTCCATGTGAACAGTAGGAAACAGTCCAGAAAGGGAGAGAAGGCAGGACACAGGCTTACCCCAAAGGAAGGCCCCTCAGCTAGTCATCTAGTGGCACAGGACAGTCACCTGAAAGCTTCAAGAACAGCAGGTGGGGAAGGGACTGAGCACACATTCCACACCCACTCTGATGTGACCTTGGGTGAATAGTGTCTGTTGGGACTCCATCACCTATGGTAAGATGCTAGTTGGTAGGTTGGTCAAGGGATTTTGATTTTCTTAGTTCTAGAGATAGAATCTAGGACGTTGAGCCCCTCAATGGGGGGGATGGTAGGATTCTAAGCAAGGACTCTACTACTGAGCTATCCTCTATTCCTTCACTGGGGGATTCTAGGCAGGGGCTCTACCTCTGAGCCACACCCCAGCCCCTCACTGGGGGATTCTAGGGAGGTGCTCTACCACTGAGCCACACCCAGACCCTCACTGGAGGATTCTAGACAGGGGCTCTAATTGAACCACACCTCTCATTCTTCACTGGAAACTAAAAATTTCAGGTAGCTCTCTTTGCCAAGAGCTGGGAGTATTGGGACAGAGGGAGGTCCCTGGGTGTCTGGGGTGTATTCTTTTGTCATATCTGGGATGACAGGGGAAGGGTCCCAGGTAGAAGCAGACAGTGTGAGGACCAGGTCTTATAAAATTTCCAGAACAAGAATGTGGTGGTGGCCGACTTTGGGCTGGCTCGACTCATGGTGGATGAGAAGACTCAGTCTGAAGACTTGCGCAGCCTCAAGAAGCCAGACCGCAAGAAGCGTTACACAGTGGTGGGCAATCCCTACTGGATGGCACCAGAGATGATCAATGGTGAGTGTTTGCTCTAGGAGTTCCAGGAGGAGGGGCAGCAGCTACCCCACACCCTGGCTCCTCCACCCCTTGACCTTCCCTGGATTCCATACTTCCTTCTATTGCTTCCCTCTGACTGGACCTTGGCCACCTCCCTCCAGCCCCCACCTCATCTTTCCTCATCTCCCTCTTTTGTTTAGTTTTGGGTGGGTGTTTGGTTTGGATTTCACAGTGTCTGGCTCAAATTGTCAGGTGTCCCATCTAGCAGGCCTTTTTTCTTTCTTTTTTTTATTTTTTTGAGGCAAGATCTCACTCTGTAGCCCTGATTATCCTGGAATTCTGCACCTGCACCATAACACCTGACTTTTTTTTTTTTTTTTTGAAAGACCGAGTCTCCTTTAACACAGATTAGCCTCAAACCTACTTTGTATCCAAGGATGACCTTGCACTCCTAATCCTCCTGCCTCTTCCTCCAGGGTTGGGATTACAGGAATGAGCCACCGTGTTCAGTTTGTGGGGTGCTGGGTAGAATCCAGAGCCTCGTATATGTTAGATAAGCACTCTGCCCAAAGTGCTGGGATTTTAAGTGAGCACTGTATGTTTGTTGTTATTTGGGGCTCTAGTACTGGGGTTGTTGTTGGGTTGTCGTTTTGGTTTGTATTGTATTTTTTTTTAAATATTTTTATGGTTTATTTAACTTTATTTTATGTGCATTGGTGTGAAAGTGTCAGATCCCCTGCAACTGGATCTTCAGACAGTTGTGAGCTGCCATGTGGGTGCTGGAAATTGAACCCCGGTCCCCTGGAAGAGCCGTCAGTGCTCTTAACCACTGAGCCATCTCTCCAGCCCGTATTGTATTGTTTTGAGACAGGCCCCATCTATTATGTAACCCTGGCTGATCTAGAACTCACAATGTAGACCAGACTGGCCTTGAATTCACAGAGGTCGACCTGCCTTTGCCTCCTGATTGCTTGAATTAAAGGTGTGCGCCACCATTCCCCTCCAGGCCTTGTCATTTTGTTTTTTTTTTTTTTTTAAGGTGTTTGTAGGGTTGGTCGTGGGGCTCAGGTGATAGAGTGCTTATCTAGCATGCAAGAAGCCCTGGGTTCCATCCCCAGCACCGCATAAGCCAGGTGTGGTGGTGCACATCTATAATCCTAGCACCTGAGTGATGGAAGCAGAAGGATTGCTGTGAGCTCAAGGCCATTTTGGGCTGCATAGTGAGTTTCAGGCTAGCCTGGGCTAGAGTGAGGGCCTATCTCAAAACCCCAAGAAAACTGGCATATGTTGGTGAACATCTTTGATCCACTTGGGAGGCAAAAGCAGGTGGATCTCTGAGTTTAAACTCAACCTTCTTGATCTTGGGGAGTTTCAGGCCATCGAGGGCTACATAGTGAGAAGACCCTGTCTAAAAACAAAGTGCTGGGCAGTGGTGGTGCACGTCATTAATCCCAGCACTTGGGAGGCAAAGGCCTATGGATCTTTGTGGGTTCAAGGCCAGCCTGGTCTACAGATTGAGCTCCAGGACAGCTAAGCATGGCTATACAAAGAAACCCTGTCTCTAAAAACAAAATAAAATAAAACATGAAAACAAACCAAACAGGTTGTGGTGGCTCAGTGGTTAAGAGCACTGGTTGCTGTGCAGAGGACCCAGGTTCAGTTGCCAGCACCTGAATGGCAACTACCAACCGTCCGTGACTCCAGTTCCAAGGGGATCTCATGATGTCTGAACTCCACAAACACCAAGCACGCGTGTGGTACACATACACACGTAGGCAAAACATTTATACACATAAAAATAAATCTAAAAAAAGAAAACAGGTGTTTGAAATAGTATTTAGGCCCCAGGTAGAACCAGCAATGTCTTGTCCCAAGACACTAACTTCCACACACCCTTAAACACCTCTTTCCCTAATTTCTTTCTCAATGCCTCTGATGCTAAGCCCATGCTCTGAAACCCACTCCACTCCAACCCTTTCCCCAGTGAAGTAACATCCATATCTTTATATATGACCAGATGGCAGCCAGGCAGAGTTAAAACTGCTTCACCACTCTGAGATCTCAGCGTTATATCAGACCCTGTAGAGCTAGGGGTGCCCTTGGTTTTCTTTTGGTTTGGGTTTGATTTTTGTTTTGTTTTGAGACAGGGTCTCCTACATAGCTCAGGTTGGCCTCAGACCATGTACCACCATGCTCTGTTTATGCCTTGCTAGAGATGGAACCCAGGGCTTCATGCATGCCACTCAAGCAGTCTGCTTGAACCACATCTCTGGCGCCTTGGTACTCTTAGAACTCAGTAGAGTGTGGTTTTCCTGCCTGTCTATTACCATTTCTTGTCCTACATCCCTTGCTGACACTTGATCTCTGTTCAGGCCATAGGTATGACGAGAAGGTGGACGTGTTTTCCTTTGGCATTGTCCTATGTGAGGTAGGTCACGTGAGCAGCCATGGTTTCCAGACCCACTGTTCCTCTCCACTCTTCAATCCTCCCACCCTCCAGCTAGATGACCCAGGGAATATGGGTCCCCAAAGCCAGACCATGGCAACAGTGGGGTATGGTGTGTCACTGACAATTCCTAGTGAACTGTCCTTAGAATCTCCAGGCTCAGGGGCCCCCATTAACCGGGGCCTTTGTGCTGGACAGATTATTGGGCGTGTGAATGCAGACCCCGATTATCTGCCCCGGACTATGGACTTTGGCCTCAATGTGCGGGGTTTCTTGGACCGCTACTGTCCACCAAATTGTCCCCCAAGTTTCTTCCCCATCACTGTGCGCTGCTGTGACCTGGATCCTGAGAAAAGGTGAGTATTGGAGGGGTAGATACTCAGTCTTAAGCGCCTTGGGGTGGGTGTGTCTTCAGGAGAGTCTACTCACCAGCCACTGGTCTCACCTGTCACCCAGGCCCTCTTTTGTTAAGCTGGAACAATGGCTGGAAACGCTTCGCATGCACTTGGCTGGTCACCTGCCACTGGGCCCACAGCTGGAACAACTGGAGCGGGGCTTCTGGGAGACCTACCGGAGGGGCGAGAGCTCACTGCCTGCCCACCCTGAGGTTCCTGACTGAGCCCAGTTGGCCCTGCCATTCTCATCCCCACCTCTGGAGAATACACCCTCACCAGATTCCTCAGCAGGAGGTGGCCCAGACATGGAGCTCTCAGCCAGGGTAGTGGTGCCCAGACCCATACCCCTGACCAGGCCCTGATTTGCCTTCTCCCCTCTTGCAGGGTGCCCCCTAGCCTCTCTCTGCCTCTGGCCCCCAAGTCATCAGGCTGCACCCACATGGTCACATTGCCCTGCCTTACCTCCCTTTCTGTGGGGGCCACGCCCTCACTTGTCTTTGCATGAGCTGGCCAGGGACGCTAGACCCATTCCATGCATTGCCTGCAGCCATCCGCACACTGCACCTGCTGGCAGCTCTTCCCCAGCTTGGCTGGGCTAGAAGACAAGCTTTAGAAGTGAGCCCCTGTGATGGCTGGGCACAGAGAGTCTTTCTTTGCCAAGAGAGAGGCTATGTTCCTAGGGACCCAACAGAGAGTCCAGAATCCCCCTGGGGGAGTCTAGATAGAAGCAGGTATCGACAATAATCTAAACCCCAAAGCAAGGAGAGGTCCAATCCCACGTGCCCACTGGCCAGGCAGTGGCCCTTGCTCTTACTTGGGGTTCATCTCATTTCTTGATTAAAGCCACTTTAGTGAAAAGCAGGTACCAGTCCTCAGGATGAGCAGGGATCCCTCGAGGGAGAAGGGCAGCTAATGCCTGGGATCTGGCTGACAGGGAGGGCCCAGCCCACACAGCAGAGGAGGGGCAGAGGGGATGAGGCAGCCATCCACCAGCACCCCAGCCCCCAGGATCATCTCGGCACCCTTCTCGGACCTCTTCCCTCTGGCTGGAGCAGCCCCGTGTCCTCCTTGGGTGCCTCTGCCCTCTGAGTTCTTTCTGTGTGATCTATTTTTTAAGAAGAGTTAGTATTATTTTTTCATAACGGCTGTAGGAGCCGCTGCCGGGGGCTTGGGGGGAATTGTTCTGTTTTTTGTTCTGTTTTGTTTAGGTGGGTGGGGGAGGGAGGGCCATTTCCTCACTTTGCTTCAGTTGAACATCTAGGACGTATTAAAACTGTGAAGCTTTCTCAGTGCACTTTGAACATGGAAGAGAGTCTGAGCAGACCCTGGTGGAACCAAGACAGAAGGAGGCAAGATATACTTGCCTCTGCCCAGTGACCATGACAGGAATGAACCCTAACTCAGAACAATAAAATCAATTCTGTGCTCCCCATGCAGGGCTTGCATCCTCATGTGTCTGGGGGCTCCGAGGAAGCAATCAAGAAAAGATAGGGATTAAGAAACCTAAGGTGGGGTGGGGTGGAGTGGGGCAGAGTGGTGGCTCAGCAGTTAAGAGCACATACTGCTCTCACTAAGGACTAGAGTTCAGTTCCTCAGACCAGCATCAGCTGGCTTACAGACTTTCATGGGGTCTGTCACCTTCTTCTGACCTCTCTGCAGGCACTGGACTTGTGAGTGAGCATATACACACAGACAAAGATAAATCTTTGTGGACTGGGGTGATGGTTTGACAACAGCTGTTACTGCTCTTGCAGAGGACCCAGGTTCAATTCCCAGTACCCATGTGGTGGCCCACAACTGTCTGTAACCTCAGTTCTGGGCTCTGCAGGCACCATACATGTATACATACAGGCAAAATATATAATTTTTCTTTTCAAGATAGGGTTTTTCTGTAGCCCTGGTTGTCCTGGACTCACTCTGTAAACCAAGCTGGCCTTGAATTTAGATCCAAACAACAACAACAAAATTAATTTTAAAAGCCTGCTGGTGAGAGCAAATGAAGAGGTTCCAGGAGGGGTGGGAGAGCAGTGAAGGGCTGTCCATCAAATACAGCACAGATAGTGGTCTAGCCAGAGCTTGTGCAAGCTTTTCAGAAGCTAGGTTGGACCAGGGTGCACTGGGACAAACCTGTAATGCCAGTTACTTGGGAGCTGAGATGGGAGAGTTGCCATTAATTCAAGGTCAACTCCAAATAGAGAGAGAACCCTGTCTGAAGACTTCTGGGGGAGGAAAAATAGATGAAGCTCAGTTGGTAGAGTGCCTAACATGCAGAAAGCCCTGGGCTTGATCCCTAGAACCTAATCAACCATCCTGCTAGTGCATGTCTGTAATTCCAGCACTTAAGACAGGAATTGGACATCATGCCCTACTTGTCAGACTGCAGGCCATAGGAGAAAACAAGACCAAGGCATTTGGACCTGGAGCCCAGTGATGGCTCTCTGTGAACAGAAATGCTCAGGTGATTTCTCTTAACTTGTTTGCATAAGCTAAAAGGAAGGGGAAGAGGGGAAGGAGGGAGGAAATGGTCAGCCCAAACTATCCTTTCTAAGCCTTGGGTTTCAGAGATGCCTCATTTCAAGCAGCCACGGGTGATAATGGGCTGATCTAAGATAATGCCTGTGGTCGGGTATCAAATCCTCCTTACATTGACAAAGTTCCAATGGTTCAAGCTCAGAGCCAACCTCACAGCCTCACCTTGGAAAGCCTTGTCTTACCACTCCCTCCCATCCAGCTTCTGACACTAGGAAGCACTTAGGCCATGTTGGAAGATGGAGAAGTGAGAGGACAAACTTCTTTCCCATTTTCCAGGAATTAATTGAACTGCTCAACAAACAGCAAGCATTTGGCCTCATGCCCAACACTTCACAATACACAGCCCAGCATGACTGTAGCACTCTTCAGAGATCTGAACACTAGTCTCCTGCTCAGGAGACTAATGATACACACTGCCCCTCGGCTTGGTCGGTTTGTTTTATTTTAAGATATGTAAGTCGTGGTCTAGAAGCTGGCATCTTCCCGCCTAAGCTTCCTAACTGCTGATTACAGGTGGGTACCACCATGCCTGTAAACATCTTTCTCTTAAGGTTCTGATCCACACCCCAGCCCCTCACTGGGGGATTCTAGGCAGGCATTCTACCATTGAGCTTCATCCCAACTCTTCGTTCTTTGAGTCTCACTGTGTAGCTCAGGGTACCTCAAACTTTGAATCTTCTTGCCTCAGCCTCCTCAGTAGCTGGGACGCTAGACATGCAACTCCACATCCAACTTACAATGCTCTTCTAAACACCGCATGCCCGTGCAGTGGTTTCTGTGTTCTTAAGAAATGTTCAACATCCTTAGTCATCAGAGAAATGCAAATCAAAACAACTCTGAGATTCCATCTTATACCTGTAAGAATGCCAAGATCAAAAACACTGATGGCAACTTACACTGGAGAGGTTGTGGGGAAAAGGGAACACTTCTGCATTGCTGGTGGGAATGCAAGCTGGTACAACCCATTTGAATGTCAGTGTAACAATTTCTCAGAAAATAAGGAAACAACCTTCCTCAAGACCCAGTAATACCACTTTTGGGTATATATCCAAAGGATGCTCAATCGTGCCACAAGGGCATGTGCTCAACTATGTTCATAGCAGCTTTGTTTGTCATAGCCAGAACCTGGAACAACCTAAATGCCTCTCGATCAAAGAATGGATAAGGAAAATGTGGTACATTTACACAATGGAGTATTTTTGTTGTTGTTGTTGTTTTTTGTTTTTTGAGACAGGGTTTCTCTATGGTTTTGGAGCCTGTCCTGGAACTAGCTCTTGTAGACCAGGCTGGTCTCGAACTCACAGAGATCCGCCTGCCTCTGCCTCCCGAGTGCTGGGATTAAAGGCGTGCACCACCACCACCCGGCTCACAATGGAGTATTACACAGCAGAAAAAATAACAGCTTGAATTTTGCAGGAAAATGGATGTAGCTAGAAAACATTTTAAGTGAGGTAACCCAGACACAGAAAGACAATTATCACATGTGCACACTCATAAGTGGTTTTTAAACATAAAGCAAAGAAAGCCAGCCTACAAACCACATTCCCAGAGAACTTAGACAACAATGAGGACACTAAGAGAGACTCACATAGATCTAATCTGCATGGGAAGTAGAAAAAGACAAGATCTCCTGAGTAAATGGGGACCTTGGGGGAGGGTTGAAGGGGGAGGTTGAAGCAGAGGTTCAAAAGTTGAAAGCCCACCCCATCAAAAACAAGGGAAGGGGGAAGGGAGTGAGAGAGAGAGGGAAGGAGGGAGAAAGTCTGAAGTCCCTGTCAATCATTTGCTGTGGATCCTCCTCAATGGACATCACCCTCTAAAGGATAAATAGACTAGACCTAATACAGAGTCCTGAACTCCCTTAGGGTGTGCCCTGCAGGCTGGCTGACCCATCAGACTGTTGGGTTCCAAAGAATCCAGGCCACCACATCCTTCCACCTTGACCTCCATCAGAAATTTGTGAGGGTTGGGAAAGAGCAGGGCTGGAATTCAGGTCATCCCACCCAGAGATGATCCCGTGACCTGAGTTAACCAGCTCTCTTGCCTCTCTGAAATGATGCGGGAACCACTAGCCACACTGGCCGCCGGGACTGCAACAGTGCACCTAGTAAATGCACGCAGGTTCACATGTATGAGTGTCAGAAGTCGGCCTCCAGTATGACTGTCCACCCTTGTTTTTGAGATTTCTTTTTCACTTCCGCATCTGTACGCATGTGTGTGACTGCAGATGCAGAGAGGCAGGAGGGCATTGGAGCTCCTGGTGCTAGAGTTACAGGTTTGTTGTGAATTACCCAGTTTGAGTCCTCTGCGAGAGTAGTTAGCACTCATAACCACTGAGCCATCTCTCCTGTCCCCTATTATCTTGTGTTTTGAGGCCAAATCACTTCCTTACCAAGTAGGTTAGCCAAGGCCCAAGGCTCCACTTGTCTTCCAGATGCCAGGATTATAGCACGGGCCCCAAAGCCCCACCTTTTATAAGGGTTCTGGGAATTGAACTCAGGTCCTAGTGCTTTCAAAAATTTCAGGCTGAGCCGGGCGATGGTGGCGCACGCCTTTAATCCCAGCACTCGGGAGGCAGAGACAGGCGGATCTCTGTGAGTTCGAGACCAGCCTGGTCTACAGAGCTAGTCCCAGGACAGGCTCCAAAGCCACAGAGAAACCCTGTCTCGAAAAA